CCAAAGTTGTAGCCCCGGACGATACGAATCCAGCCCAACAAACGGCTCGCGATTTCGTTAAGTAACGAAGAAGATATGACCAAAATACCGGGACTGCACCAGTGGTGGCGAGCTCCTCGGGTTGGCATGTGTTTCTTCACCAAATTCATATTATTTCATTCCAAATACCTACCATAAACTCTCTAACAATTATTAGGAACATCCGGAAGGTATCGTAGAGAGGGTTTGGCGTTGGAATATTGAAATTAGTGAGTTAATCGTCGGAATCGTGTTCATCGACATAGCCGAAATTCTGGACAGCAACTTTCCATTGACTTCAGGTCCGATTTACGTTATTTTACACCTGTTAATTCGAACTACTTTCTATACGAAAGTTATAGCCTTATATCTTAGGAATCCACAGAATCAAACGGTTTGCAATTTCGTGCAGAAACGATGGAGATATGCCCAAAATACCGCAAGCTGTCCAATTGTGACGGGAATGACAAAGTTGGTGATTTCCGATGTTGTTTCCACTCCCGCTCATCCGTAAGCTTTCGGCCGATGATTTCCAGGTCGCGATCCAGAGTCTGTACATTTAATATTTATAAGAAATTATCATTTTCAAATGTCAAGCGAAATTTTTATTTAACTCTTGTTTCACCTTAATTCGTGTAATTCTGGGTTATACGGATTAGGGTGTTACATTTTGGTATCAGAGCAAAACGATTTTCGGATCATTGAGTCAGTATTTTTAAGTCCTGCATCCGCATCCTCCGCGACATCTCTGCCCCGGGAAGGTAATCAACAAGTAAGTTACTATGACATAACACACATGCTTAACTCATTGAAAAATTTGCTTCCTTTGAGTTGCTAGTATCCTCATAGACCCGATAGCAATAAAATTTAGATTGCCTTAGAATGTTTTCGACGATCACAGTCGACATCAAAAGATCAAGAAGAGGGATTGTAAACCCGACAGACACGACATATACGTATGTCGTAGTACGCAAATAACTAAGTGAACGATGTGAATTAGCTTCTGTCAAGCCGAAGAATACGTTGAAGAAAGAGTTTTCTCCGATAGGAAGTGAACAAATTCTCCAAAGGTGAATCTGTCGTTTTCTAAGAGCATGAATAGAACCTCACAAACCAGATCGAATACGACATATGTATCGAATCTAAAACGCATTATAGGGGTGAATCTACATACAAACATTAAGATAATTGACTCGGTCGTATACCCTATTGACGCGAATAGTCGCAAGAAGATGACATCAGCACAAAACAAGATCTAAAGCAGTCACACCAACAATGAGAGACTGGAAGACAAAGAAAAGGTATAATATTTACATGATACATTTTGATATTGGAAATAAATATTCTTCTGAAATGCACTGGTCATACAGCTTAGAACGATATGTATAACTGACACGTAATGTACATGGACAATAATATTTCAACTTGGGAATATTACAAATGCAACTCTAAGTCTAACCTTCCAGGATTTACAAATTCGTCATAACTAGCACCAGGACCCGGGAAAGCATTAGCAAACTCTAGCTTGTGCAAAATCTCATCAACAAAGAAAGAAGAAATAAAAAGTTTCCTCTGATTCAAAGCCATGAAGTTTTGCCTCACCGCATCATCTAGAAACTTGATTAGGTTATTGAAATAACCGTCAATGTTCAAAAGACCAGTGGGTTTACTATGTAACCCTTCGGATGCCCATGAGATCAAAGTGAATAAACCTTCCATAGTGTCAACCCCTCCAGGAAGTACAATGAAGGCTTCCACAATATGATTCATCTCGAAATACTTATAGTAATTGCTGGAGACGGTGTATTCTACACCGTACGTAGGTCCGTAAACCTGTCGTGTTGCTATATACCCTGGTATGAAACCTCTGACTCTACCACCATTATTATAGACCGTTGAAGCTACAGCTCCTTGAAGGCCAACATTGCCTCCTCCGTAGGTAAGCCTGATTTTTCGCCTTACCAATTCCCGTCCTAGATCAACCGCTGTAGCCATAAACCTTGGATTGCTACCAAGAGCATGACTACCAAGTAGACCAACGAATCTTATGGTATTAGAAAGAGCTCGAGAAGTTCCTTCCATAATGTGAGAATGTGAGACGCTCTTGCCCGATTTGATATATATATAGACTCCAAAACTGGACCATTGATGGAAAAGTAATTATCACCAGCGTGGAAACGTACATGAAAGTGGATTTGCTCCAGACAAGAATGTACTCGCCAATACTACAGTCTGCTGACGACATGACATATTGAGACTCATGAATAGTTAGGCTCATTGTCCTGAAATACATTCAAATCCGAGACCAAGAGTCAAAATGGTTATTTACCTAAGACAATGACCCCTTGAGTAACTTCAAAAAAGTGAAACATTAAAGGATGAAATCCTACTATTTGCCACGATAATTCGCAAATGCTATATTCGTATCTTGTGACTTATATCATTGAAATATTCAAACTTGCTGTGTTAATTACACACTTAAAGCATCTCACTTGATCAATATTGAAAGGATTGAACTCCATTTGTTTTATATATCAAATCATTGAGAACTTGTTTTAACTCATGATTCTCCATCAAACCAAAAGGATGTTTTATGATACCGATCTTAAAAAAAACACGCATGTATCAATAGAATCCCAAACGTATTAGAATACGACTATGTGTATAACTTGTCATGTTTTTGGTAATAAATAACATAACTGTTGTGTGAAGTAGAATATTAGTGATATGATGAATACACTAATATTATAATTTCCGAGCATAAAGTTATTTCATAATTATTGAGAAAGTCTGAAATTCCAAGGTAGTTCTGGAATCATCAATTAGAAAATCAGTATTCAAGAATGATTACATATCATCTTG